GTGTACATAGTGCTCAGTTATAATTGCACCACAAGCCAGTATATCCCAAGCTGTCCCTAACCTTGCAAATATGGCAGGAAAAGATACAGGACTTTCTGAAGAGGCAGCAGGTGCCGTTTGGGGATGGTAGGAGAGCCCTGGTGTGACTGTCCTGCAGTGAAATCTGATCTGAATTCAGGCACTGCTTCTGCTGCCAGCTTGTCCGACTGTGGAGCAAATCCCCTCTCTGGGAAGTGGGCGCTGGTGCCACCRGACCCAGAGGATGGGCAGCCTCTCCCCGGGGCCAGGCTGGGAAGAGCAGTACAGTGACAGCCACTGAAGGCTTTGCTTTGGGAGTAYGTGCACAGAGCAGAGCTGGATGAATAGGTAGTCCCATTTCTGTCAAAAGCACTTGAAAGGAACGAGTTGTCAAGACATTAGGTCCCATGACATCCTCTGKTTTTTTCAGGGAAGGCATGTTGAGGACTGGCTTGTGATCTAAATGTTAAAACTACCAAAAGCAGCAATTTATAAATATTTAACCATTTTATCTTTATTTAGCGTGGCTGCAGGCTCTGTTGTACAGCAGCTCACAAACATTAAGATAGTCCATGCAGTTAATTGAAGGAAGCCAGTCTAGGCTTACTGACTGGCAGTCTGTAAATTCTTTGTGACTTGTCTGAGTTCATGCAGGAAAGAAGGTGGCTGAGAAAAAAAAGAGAGCACAAGTTGCCCAACCTCATACTTTAGCCATAAAATAATGACATTATACCCCTGCCCCCTTCAGTTTCTTATCAGAGGAAGCGGGGGGGAAGCCCCAAAAAATTAATTTCTATATGAAAAAAACTTCTGGACACACGAAACTTTCTCAGTGCCGTAAATAATTGTACTTGTGTTCTTAAATGAAGCCTGCAGTGTCTRTAACTACTGAGGTCACTGCTTCAGCTTGCTTTTGGAAGGCAGTTGCAGACCTCACTGAATTCTGGGAGCATAATGACATAATTGTCTGTTGAAGTGTTATTGTAGCCAATTTATATCCCACTYAGTGTTTTTCCTGAGTTGCTTTTATATGTGTGTTGAGGCCCCTAACTTAGTCCATTATACTCACGCTCCTGTTATGCCCATAAAAACAGTTTCCACTGTTGTGGAGTACATGCATCTGAATAATAGACTGTGTGTGTTTTGACTTYCAAATTAATGCCAGGCTGCTCCTCCAGAAATGGTCATTTTGGAGATGAAGTGGCACTTGTGAGAAGAAATGCATCTGCGGRTCCCAGCCAAGATGAGTTGCTGTGATGATTTTCATTTCTTCKGGTGTGAATGTAGMATGTGGGCCTGTGAGCCCTGCAAGTCSCTTCCACAGAAAGTGAGCTACACAGGGACAGGCAATCAAGAAGAAGGAATGACTTCCCAGCAACGCAAAGGGGAAACTACTGCTTCCCCTGCTCCCTCATTATAATTTCATAATGATTAATGCAGCAGGACTCAGACTTCACAATGAGGTGCTTCAGTGACTAAAGAGCACACTCTTCTGCCAGCTGTCTGTGCTTTTCTTCCTACTGCTAGGGCCTGGCTAGGGGAGATGAGGAAATGACAGCGTGGCTGTCTCTGATCCTCTGGACTCAGTACTACCTGCTCTGTGCTGACAGGACTCTAAATGCATTGGTCAGTAGGCAATGTAACCCATGTCTTAATATCATTTGCAGCAACTCAGGAGAAATGGGAGCGTGGAAGTGCTCTCTGAMGCGTTTTGGTGCACAGCATTAGGAGCGGTTGCCTAACGTGACCCTGGTGAGAGCAAATGGCAGCAGAGCAGCCAATTTAGAGACTTCCCTCCAGCTGTACCAAGCAGGTGAGTCAGCAGCACCTAATGGCAGGTTGCTGGCAGTGAGCTCAGATATTTTCAGTCACCATGCCTGTCTGGCAGGAGAGTTGTGTCATTTCCATGTCACCTAAGTGCAAGCTGCAAATTGGCCAGAGTGGTAAAAGGATTCACTGAAAACATTGTGTGTTTGTGTGCACACTGACAAGTGGCCCTGGCTGGGGTTTTGTCAGACAGGGTCATGTTTGTGTGACTTGAAAACAGTGAGCAAACAAATGAAAAAACAGAACACGCAGATACTGCAGCATTCATTAACAGCCAAGATGCAAAAGGTCCTTTATCCAGGAATAGCAATACAGTGCTGATTTTTACCTTTTCAACACRGAGAATGGTAATGGCTTCTATTAAATATTTTCCAAATGTAGCTGTTCAAATTAAATGAAGGAAAAATCATCATCATGCTGTTGGGAGCTGAATTCTACCCTCACCTGTCAGTTTGTGAGGTGATAGACAGGAGGCAAATCTCTTACCTTTTTCATCAGCTTTATTGCAGTCTACAAAGACTCCCTGAAAAGCAYTGAGGATTTTTGATTCCTTTTTCCTCTTACCTTTGCCCTGTAGAAATTCACACTCTTGAGGACCGTTGCAGAGTGTGATTGTGTTGTAGAATGCTTTTCATCCCTCCCCTGCAAAGCCCTTGCTCAGGGAAAGCTGTAGCATCAGGGTGGCACTGGGCAATGCTGCTTTCAGTGCAGCCAGACCTGAKGACAAGGTTTACAAAGCACAGCAGTAAAAACCTCACTGGTGATCGGTCTTCTGCCAGCTGTGGAAGTCTCAGTGTCACCAGTCTTAGGTGAGCATTAACATACAACCCTTGGAACAAGGGGAACACAGCTGAAAGAGAAATATTAGTGCTGTTAGCACATTGTTGAACTGAGCCTGGAAGGTCTGGTCCATGTCGAGCTTTTGGGTGGTAGAGGTGTTTTATTAAAAGGGGGAAATTGTGCAGGGCTTAATGTTTGGGAGGKTTCTTTGGTGTTCGAAATAGCACAGATTACTATTTAGTTGTGTTTTGTTATTAGTTTCTTTAGTTTCATGCCTACAGTGCTTTTCATCTGTCTCTTGTAGGAGCTTTCTTTGGAGCTGTGCAGTATGGAAAGCTATGGCTGAAGTGTTTTAGGCCTTTTGGGGGCTAAGAGGAGGGAAAGTTGTTTAAACAACCTTTTAAAATGACCTGGAAAGGGGGCTGGGAATGCAAGCTAGGCTTTGTGTTTTTTCTATTTTTTTCCCTTTTTTTCTTTTCTTTAGCTCTGCTACAATGTRCATAGAAAGCCCTGGGGGTAATTTCTAAAGCATTTAACTCAGTTGTTTCTTTACTTAGAAACTGGATTTTTTTCCCCTTGAGCAGAAGGGCAGCATTGATTTTATTTATTTATGTATTTGAAATTCTTTAATAACATGACCTATATCCTGCCCCTTTCAACCTGACAGAGTGCCGTGTCACCGGAGTTCATTAGCAAATTAAGAACACAAATTAAACTCTATTCCGTGTCCCAAGATACACATTTTCTATGTTTTGTAGAATATTCGGTTTCACCTAGGTGCTTTCAAAGAGTTGCAAACCATCAGGCATAGTATCCATTTTGCATTAYGCCACTGTGCTCTTGGCAATGTTTAAGACATGACATAGCCTTGACTAAGATATACTGTTTATTTATTTTGAAGCTCAATTTGCATTTATATATTTATTTACACATATAAAAAAGGAATTTTGGTTGGTATAAGTAGCAGTAGATAYTGTTATTGAAGCCAAACCCATGTAAAGAGTGGTCCATGGGCAATTAAGGTGCTTGTGATTCATGATGGTATCTCCATATTTATATTTCTTGATGCAGAAGCTTTAAAATTCAYTATGGTGCAGAGATCTAAGAAAACTACACAAAAACACCCACTGCTGCTSCTTGAAGAAAGCTTTCCGGGGTGAGATGGTAGAAAGCAGGCCAAGACACAGAGCTTGTTAGGCAACAGCTACCCACTGTCAGGGGTTTGTTGGCTTTCCCTGGCACTTGGTGAGAACAAGGGAGACCTTGACCTTCAGGCTTTGGGCTCCTCGAGTATTTTATATTATTTATAAACTGGCCCCTTGGGAGGAGTGCCACAGACCATGACAGCAGAGCCAGGGCTGGCTCTGTTGGGTTTGTTGTGATCCTTACTCCTCCTGGAGCTTCACCTTTGCAGTCATTTATGAAAAGCAAAGACAAGGAAAATAGGCAGTTTAGCAAAAAGCTATTMTATAATGAAGGAGGATGGATATAACACAGGGACTATTCAATAACACAAAAGCAGAGGCACAGAGTTTAGCAAAGTTATTACTCAGTGAAGGAGGATGGATATAATATAATGGAATTTTTCAAAGATTCAAAGCTAGCACATCAACTTTGGGATGACCCTTTGTAAYCGCCAACACCTCCTCCCCTGTTCCCCCCATCCCAAACTGCCAGTTGCCTTCATCCCTCATAAGAAGGACAGGAAACTGTTGGATCCAGTCCAGAGGAGGGCCAYGGATCTCATAAAGGGACTGGAGCACCTGCCCTATAATGACACTGAGAAAGTTGGGGCTCTTCAGGCCTGGAGAASGTTGTGTGGAGACCTCACAGCAACCTTCCARTATCTGAAAGAGAGCTCTGARGAAGCCAGAGAGGGACTCTGTCSGGAACTGTAATAATTATRGACAAGGAGCAATGGGTACCACSAAGTGAAAGGGGAATRCTAGGTTAGCTGTTTGGAAGAAGTACTGGGAGGGTGGTGAGACAGTGGGACAGGTTGCCCAGAGCAGCTGGGGCTAGCCCAGCTCTGGAAGTGTTCAAAGCGACGCTGGACGGGGCTCTGAKSAACCTGGTCTAGGGGAARCTGTCCCTGCCCCTGGCGGGGGATTGGAACCAGATGGTCTGTAACGTCCATTCCAACTCCTTAACTCTGTCTGTGTGATCCCGCAGGGCTCCGGGCGGCGCCATAGGGGAGCGCTCTGTTGCTGTGACGGTGCTGCGTCCTTTCCCCTGTCCCGATCCCGGTTCCTTCCCCCGGGAATGCCGCGGGAGCGGCGCGCGGGCCCAGCCGCCCGTCCCCTCACGGCCCGCGGGAGGAGGCCCCGCCCCGCGCGCGCGCCCGCCGCGCGCCCGGCCCCGTCTCCTCCCCCAGAATGCCCCGCGCCAGGCAGCCTTTGAAAAAGCGGCGCGGCTCGTTCAAGATGGCGGAGCTGGATCAGCTGCCTGACGAGAGTGAGTAAGGACCGGTGCCCCCGCTCCCGCCGCCCCCTCGTCCCGGCGGGACACCCGCGCCGCGTCCCGCCGCCCGCCCGCCTCCCTGCCTCGCTCCGTCCCTCCTACCGGGGGCGCT